CATACACTACAAATTTAAAAACAAATAACTGGGTCAATGAGAAAAATCATAAGGGATATTAAAATATTTAAATCAAAAAAATTAAAAATACAAAACCAAAATGTTGAGTATATACTAAAATTTGGAGACATAGTAAAAGCTATACTTAGGGGGAAACTTATAGCCTGAAATACTTATACAGAAAAGAAAAAAAAGATGGCCGGGTGCAGTGGCACATGCCTGTAATCCCAACACTTTGGAAAGCCAAGGGGGGAAGATCACTTGAGGTCTGGAGTTCAAGACCAGCCTGGGCAACATAACAAGACCCCCATCTCAACAAAATTAAAAAAGTTAGCTGGGCATGGTGGTGTGCACCTATGGTCCCAACTACTTGGGAGGCTGAGGCAGGATGATCACTTGAGCCCAGGGGTTAGAGGCTGCAGTGAGCCATGATTGGGCCACTGCATTCTAGGCCTGGGTGACAGAGCAAGATCCTGTCTTCAAAGAAGGGGAAGGGGAAGGGAAAGTTGAAATTTAATGAGACCGAATTTCATTCAGAAGTTAGAGATAGAACAAAACACAATAACCCTCTCCCCCCCCAATATAAAGAAGAAGATAATAAAGATAACAGCAAAAATTGGTTCTTTGAGACAATAATAAAATAGACATCTGGTGAGATGAATCAAGACAAGTGTGAAAGCACAAAGAAATAATATTAAGAAAGAAAAAGAGCCTATAACAGTAAATCTAGAGGAGACCAAAAAAGATAATAAGAAAATACAATGAAGAACTCCATGGCAATAAATTTGTTAACTTATGAAACGAACAAATGCCTAGAAAAATACAATGTATCAAAATTGGCTTAAGAAGAAACAGGATACCCAAATAGTCCTCTAACAATGAAAGTAACTAAACTAATAGTTAACAAAATCTCCCCATACTCCTAGTGGTGGGGGAGAACCTTCAGACCCAGACGGTTTTTTTTTTTTTTTTTTTTTGAGACAGAGTCTCACTATGTTGCCCGGGCTACAGTGCTGTAGCGTCATCCTAGCTCACAGCAACCTCAAACTCCTGGGCTCAAGCGATCCTCCTGCTTCAGCCTCCCGGTAGCTGGGACTACAGGCATGCGCCACCATGCCCAGCTAGTTTTTTCTATATATTTTTAGTTGTCCAATTAATTTCTTTCTATTTTTAGTACAGATGGGGTCTCGCTCTTGCTCAGGCTGCTCTCAAACTCCTGAGCTCAAACAATCCGCTCGCCTCGGCCTCCCAGAGAGCTAGGATTACAGGCGTGAGCCACCGCGCCGGCCTAGACCAAGATGGTTTTACAGGGTCATTCCCCCAATGTTTTCAGGAACAGAGCATTCATCTTACGTAGTCTTTTTAAGAGACTAGAAGAAGCAGCAATGCTAATCAACTCATTCTATGAGAGCAGTATAATTTTGAGATAAAAAGAAAGGTAAAAAAATAAATTATAAACTAATCTCACTAATAAAAATAAAGGTAGAAATCCTAAAAAAAAAAAAAAAAATGAGTAAATCAGTTCCAGTAATGTATAAAGTGGATATGCATGAACTCTGGAGCCAAACTCCTTGTGCTGAAATTTCAACTTCCTCACTTTCTATGTCTTGATTTTGAGCAAGTGTACTTAACTTCTTGGTGCTCAATCTCACCATTTGTAAAATGAGAATAATAATAATAGCTAAACTCATGGGGCTATGATGAAGATTAATCTAATATATGTAAAGCACTTAGTACTATTAGAATTATATCTGCTACATAAATGTTACCTATATAATCATATTATTACTTAGAAGATAACACATGAGAAATGCAAGCTTAACTCAGAAACGTAACAGTGATTTAATATTACAAAATATCTATAAATGTAATTCACCCTACCGACTTATTAAAGAATCATACAGTCATATCAATAGAGTACAGAAAAGCACATTTAATAAATTCAATATCCACTCTTAATAGAAAACAATAAACAAAGCAGGAATAGAAGGCAACTTCCCTAAGCTGATAAAAAGTATTTACTAAAAACTTACAGCAAACATTATTAGTGGTAAAATTATTAGAGGCATTTTCTTTAAAATCAGGAACAGGGATGCCTGCTATTACTACTTCTATTCAATATTGTACTGAGGTTCTAGCTAATACAGTAAAACAAGGAAAGAAAGAAAAGTCATGAAAATCTAAAGGGAAGAAACAAACTCATTATTTGTAGAAAACGTCGAAGAATCTAAAATATATCCCATTATAATTAATAAGAGATTTTAGCAATATTCCTAGAACAAAATAGATATAGAAAAATCAGTAAGAAAACATAATTTTAAAGATATTTAAAATGTTAAAAATAGAATAAATTTAAGGAAAGGCAAATGACACCTTTATGAAATTTTACGGAAGAACATTAAACATATGGAGAGATATGTTTGTGGATAAAAAGACTGTGGGGCTGCAGAGAAACTATTTATGTTTTTGCACAGTTAGGCTCTTATGAACAAATTTTACTGATACCTGGGTTAAATGTAAGTCTTGGAAAGTAATTTATGATTAAATTGTACAGTAAGAAAACTGAGAGATTTACCTTCTGGAGGTAGTATGTTTACATTTCAAGATGGGGTTGGAGAGAGGAAGAGCCTAGACCAAAGGGACTTCCTCTGTTAAAGCAGGAGACACTGGGGCTTATCTTTCCACTGGAGTCATTTATTTCAAAGGGTTAGAGAAAGAACTGAAGATCCTTCTCTTTAGATTTCCAAGGCGACTCTCTCAGATAGGGGTGGGGGAAGAAGGAAGCAGTTGACTCTTTCCTCTATATAGACAGTTGGATAAATTTTTTCGGGGTTCCTTGTTTACAATACAGACTCCTTATGTGTAGGGTTTTATCCAGGGCTTCACCCTGGAGGTAAGAATTGGTGCACAGAGAAGCTATGTGGTTATTATTTGCTGTATGTAAATAATAATAACCTGATCTGCTCTTGAAATCTCTAAGTGCATTCAGAATAATAAATATGGAATGTAAGAACTTAAAGACTCAATATTATAATGATGTATATTCTCCCAATATTAATCTATAGATTCAATGAAATTTCAACCAGAATTCCATCATAGTTTTCGAAGAACAATCGAGATGCAGACCTGTGCATATGTGGAAATTTGATATATGACACAGGTGACATTGCACGTCATTGGGGAAAGAGGGTTTATTTAGTAAATGAACAACTGGTAAGCCTTATGGAAAAAAGTGAAATTGGATCCTTATCTCACATGATACATAAAAATGAATTTCTGGTAGAATAAATACATAAATATAAAACTCAAACTTTAAAAATTTGAAGATAAAAATTTAGGAGTATTTTTTTTCATCTCACATTTCTTATACAATATACCAATCGCACTAACCATAAAAATACTGATAAATTTGACTACATTAAATCTAAGAACTTTTGTTTATCAAGATTCCATAAAGAAAGTAAAAAGACAAGAGATATATGTAACATACATAACTGACAAAAGATTAGAATGTCAAATATTTTGAAGAATTCTTACAAATCAAGACAAACAACCTAACAGAAAAATGTAGGAAGGATATTAAGAGGCATTTCACAGAAAAAGAAATATAAATGATAAACAGACATATGTAAAGATATGACCTCATTAGTAATTAGAGAAATGCAAATTAAGATCACAATAAAACATCCTTTTACACCTAAAATCTCAATTTAGACTAGATTGGCCAAAAGTAATAAATCGTGTAATATGAAGTACTGTAGAACACAGAAACTCCTATACATTACTGGTGGAAATGTAAATTGGTACACTTCACATTTGGAAAACGATTTGGTATTATCATAAAAAATTGGACTACTTGGTAACCCAATTAAAAAACGGACAAAGGACCTGAACGGACATTTCTCTAATTTGTCTACAAAGGGCCAACAGGTATATGAAAAGGTGCTCAACATCACTAATCATCAGAGAAATGAAAATCAAAACAATGAGATGTCATCTCATATATATTAGAATGGCTATTATTAAAAAACACAAACAATAACAAGTGTTGGCAAGGAATGTGGAGAAAAGGGAATTCCTTTCTACTGTTTGTAAGATATTAAGCAAATCACTTACAATTCTTTATTGGTATAATCTGTTTCTTTATAGCACTATCCTCTTATCAAAATATATGAAAAAGATTCTTAATATTAAAACTTATTGAAAATTAGCAAAGTACCTGTTCACTATAAATCTAGATATCAGGTTTTCATCCTTATTACGTTAACCAAATTTGGCTGAGTAATCCTACCAATAAATACAAAATAGCGAACACTAATATTACTATAATATTATTAAAGCAAATAGAACATCTGTTTTAAATGCCTAATATCATTAGATTGGCCATGAATTTAAATGGATCTTTATAAAACATTGCTTGAAAATGCCTTAAGCAGGCCGGGCGCGGTGGCTCACGCCTGTAATCCTAGCTCTCTGGGAGGCCGAGGAGGGCGGATTGTTTGAGCTCAGGAGTTTGAGAGCAGCCTGAGCAAGAGCGAGACCCCATCTCTACTAAAATTAGAAAGAAATTAATTGGACAACTAAAAATATATAGAAAAAATTAGCCGGGCATGGTGGCGCATGCCTGTAGTCCCAGCTACCGGGAGGCTGAGGCAGGAGGATGACTTGAGCCCAGGAGTTCGAGGTTGCTGTGAGCTAGGCTGATGCCACGGCACTCACTCTAGCCCGGGCAAAAGAGTGAGACTCTGTCTCAAAAAAAAAAGAAAAAAAAAAAAAGAAAATGCCTTAAGCAGAAAGTAAAAATGTACCAATCTAATTCAATTTAATCTTTAATAGCTTTCTCTGTTAATCCTTTTGATTAGCTTCAGCAGCCAAAGGTTGTTTTATTTTTAATGACCTCCATTTTTTCCCTTGCAACAAAACTTATAAATCTTCCCAAGAAGGACTTTATTCTGTATTATCACTGCATTATATATTATAACATTGAATACAGTTTATACTACGCCGTAAGTGCTGATCTTGTTTGCGTTGGCTCTCATTAGTCCCAACGTTTTGTTTGTTTGTTAACGAAAGCCATAATGTTTAACAGCATGCGGTTCAAGTAAAGTATTTTCTAGTGCTTGAATATTATTTACCCTATTGGGCTATGTTAGAGAGTCTTAATTATTATATTTACCCTATTGGGCTATGTTAGAGAGTCTTAACTATTAATAAATTTTTTTGACATTTAAGTGTTACACAAAGTTCTTACGAAAATAGTAACTTTAGCTTGTTTATCCATGCTGCTTTGAAAGATAAACTAACATTTTTTAAACATAATTAACTCACTGAAGAAATTTTATAATCTTTTAATTATGTTTGTATCAGGAAGTTATAATGAAAACATGCTTGTATTTTACATTTTTTTCTATAGAAGCTAAATAGATTCTACTATTCTCTTATTTCTCATGTTTCATTTTCAATAATATTCACTTTTAATCAAGTCCTTTGATTATTAACTTCCCAAAAGAACAAAGGATTCTGAACTTAAGGGCCTCAAGAATATAAAAATTAAAATTTTTAAATTACTAAATCAAATGACATCAACATTTTTTAAAGATAAAATATACTATACATTATTATAATTCATTAAGAATGCTTTCAGTATTCTAATTACACAAGAATGCTGAAAAGACTTTAACAATCTATTCATATATTTTTACCTTATTTAGATCGTCCCTTTCTTGTTGTAACGTTTTGATTTGTTTTTCACAAGCCTTGATTTGTCTAAAAGCATCATCTAGTTCTCGCCTCACAGAATTAGCTTCTTCAAGCTGTTGTTCCAAATGACTTGATTCTAAAAACAAAAGATAATGTTTCTATTACTATTTGTAAAAAAGCTTATGATTGAACCCAAGGTTTAAAACAACTAAATTTTTTTTAAAAGAAGTATTATGAATTGATATCAGGGCTATTGACACCACATAACCAGTGTAACTCATGACAAATTAAATGCGTATCAGTTCACTGTAAAGATGGTAAACGGCATGTGCCAGAAGGAAGAGGTGAAAAACTTATGTACAGAAATGCCTTATATATCTATTAAGACAAAAAGACCATACTTCCAAAAATAGCACCTTTAGACCAATTAAAAACTTAAAACTAAAAAAGAACAAAACTAACCAAACAAAAAAAGACAAGTTTATCTCTGTTGTTGGTAAACATCCTAGTGCTGAAGTTAGTCAAATTATTTTAAGATTGTTTTGCTTCTAATATTGTGGTTCCAGATCACCCAGCCTAGTTTACCCCGTTTATTTGAAGAATAAACTCTGATTTCTAAAAGTAAATATCTGAAAACCTCTTATCTAAATCAGCTCTTCCATTTTAATATGAAGAAACTCAGAGAGTTGAATCATTTGCCTAAGGTCACATTGCTAAATGAATACCAGAGCTAAGGCTAGAGACCAGGAAACCTTGCAATGACCTTGCCAACTTACAAAGTAATGTTATTAAATAATGTTTGAAATTATCAGATCAGAAGAGTTATTATGAAACAAAATAAAATTATGCTTAAACAAAATTTAATAAATTGATAGGAAATGTTCTTGGTATCAAAAGTAAACTAGCAACTGGGCACAGTAGCTCATGCCTGTAATCCCAGTGCTTTGGGAGGCTGAGATAGGAGGATCACTTGAAGCCAGGAGTTCAAGACCAGCCTAGGCAACATAGCAAGACCTTGTCTCTACAAAAAATTAAAAAATTAGCCCGCCATAGTGGCGGGTTCCTATAGACCCAGCTACTTGGGAGGCTGAGGCAGGAGGAGCACTTGAGCCCAGGAGTTCAAGGCTGCAGTGAGCTATGGCTGGGCCACTGCACTTCAGCCTGGAGAGTGAGATCCTGTCTCAAAAAAAAAAAAAAAGTCAAATAGCAAATTAAAAGAACTGAAGTCAGTGAAAATAGAGAAATTTAAACGCATTCATTGTTAGCTCTGTTCTGGATATTTTCTGTTCTTTACACCTTAATTACTCTAAATGTCATCCCCATATAAGCAGCATCAGCATCCTCTAGGGACTGAGATATGCAGAATCTCAGGCCCCACCTCAGACCTAATGAATCAAAATCTTTACAAGATTCTCAATGATTCATTTGTACATTAAAGGTGGGAGGAAGTATACAAAGTATTTCATATTGTTTAAATGAAGTAGTGTAAATAAAATGTTAGTAGTCCTACTGAGAAAAGCATTTCATCTGTGTAGACAATTCCTATAATCTAAAAATCATTCAAATGTATTAGTGTATCATATACTAAATGGTTCTAGATTCCATAAATAAAATAATTTACCAGTAACCAGTGCCATAAATTTCTAAATTTATTAAAAAGGTAGCTCTTTTGAAAGTCTAGTTATATTTATGGATGGTATAGTTTTTAACAACTTTTGAAGATTATATGCAAAGTTGTATTTAACTGGTTTTCATACTATCTTAATAGTATTATTTAATGAATGTATTACATGAAGAAGACAAAAGATCATAGATTTTTTAATCTTAGGGATCACAGGGTGTTTACTCTTATATTCAGAAAAATTGTATTTTATCATTTTCTCTAAGCATTTCACATGGGAATCTTTCTACTTACACTAATTTCTTTCAAACATGTTTAAATTATATTTTTCTGTTATATTAAGTTTTTAACATATTTCAGATTTCAACAATTTACTTTTAGGTAACAATTTACTTTTGTTATTTACCGTAATTAGGAGTCAAAATTTAGCATGTAAAGCAGCTGACTTCTGGCATTTCCTGGTTCACTTTAATAAAATTTTATGGCTAAGGAAAGTCAATGTGAAGTAGTAAAATGGTACACTTAATAATTCCTCTGAGCACACTTACTTTCTTCCTTAACATGTTTAATTTTTTTTTTGGCAAATTGTTATTGACTTCTTTCAACTGTTCTTTGTTAGAAACAAAAAAATTCAGTATTTTATAAAATGTCTGCATGATATAAAGTTTATAGCAAACTGTATCACACTGGATAATTTCAACAGCCTTTAAGAGTATTTTATTGTATTATTTTAATACAGGTTCTCTTTTAGTTTCACCCCAGTCATTTCCCTTTGGCTGCTTTGCAATGGAATTGTTAGAAAGAGAAATATATGTCAGATTTCCATGTTTTACACTTCAGACACTTTTAAAATGCTTAAAAAGACCAAAATATCCATCTAAACAACAATCTATAATTACGAGAAATACAAAAAGAAATGTACTGGATTAAGAAGAGTTAGAAAAGACAAACCCATCTAATTTTTTTATAAAATCCTCCAATATGGAGAGAAGCATAGCACTTGTAATTTGGAAAACGGAATTTTGTATTCCCAAAAGAAAAAAAAGCCCAAATCAAGAAAAATCTAGAATGCTTTGAACTTTGGTCAACTACTATAAAATGAGTAAGGCAGAGGAGCCTTTACTTTCACTACAATGAATAATAAATTTGACTACAACTTTGAAAGAAATCCTCAGAGACTATTAAAAATTTCACAGCACAATTTGCCATCACATTCAGATGAAGTTATTAAAGACTAGTTTTAGTGAACAAAGAGAAAAAGTTGTACTAGGAAAGTGGGTTAGTGCATAACAACTACGTGGTTCTTACGGCTGCTATTAGAACTGTAAAATACAATCTGTTAGTAATAAGGATTTAATGAAGGCATAACACATGCGTATGTGGTAATTTTCTTGGCACTGTGTGGCATACGAAAGAAATATAAAATATGGTCTTGGTCTCGAAGGAGATAATCAAGCTTGGAAGACAAGCGTAACACTCCTAAAAATCATCAATAAAGCGGAAAATCAAATAAATTGTGTAGCAGGTTATATGTGCTATAGGAATTAAGAGGTCAAAAATGGCCTGATGAAAACAGTACTCAAAGTGAAACAGTAATGAATTGGAAAGGGGCTAAGAACAGAGTCAGAGGGAGCTTAACAGAACAACCAAAGTATCGCCCTGATCCACAAAGAGCACAGTTCCACAGGGTTTCCATTATGTTCTTATTCCTAAAATAATTTATAACTTTCTTAAGATGCAAAGAGATTTTACTTCTAATCATGATGGGAGGAAAACAGGCTGCCTTATCACTGAGGAAGAAGTTTTGAGTTAGAGAGACAGAGACAGCATATGGAGACACAGATCACCAACCCCAAAGCAGTAAAAAAATAAAGATTTTAAAAGTACATTATGCATTACAATAAATTTTTCCTTTAGAGAACAAAAAAACCCATTATTCTCTCATATAAAATACTAAATGAGGTATGAATTTTTATTTTTGTCTGCAGATACTCAACGAATACATATTTAGTGTCTGTTATATAATACTGGCATTGAGCTTGGTACTAGGAATAGAGTAGAAAAACAAACTCTGCTCCTAGTCTGTACGAGCTCAGAGTATGGTGAAAAAAGCAGATATTAAAAAGAAGTTATAAATAATTATACATTTGCTATATTTTTCTAGGAATTTTAAAATATTGGAAAACACTACTATTGGGAAATACAAAATATAAAGTCATTAATGGTAGGTCTCTGTGTACACAAAGATCTTGCTCAAGAAGTATCTAGGGTCAGGCATGGTGGTACAAGCCTGTAATCACAGCTTGGAGGGAGGACTGATAAGGAAAACCCCCATCTGTTACTTGGCACATCAGCCACCTGAGACCCCCACCCCTCACGGAAGACCCGCATCAGCATAATACTAACCTATTACCTGACCCATCAACTAACCCACTACCTGGCACATCAGCATAACACTAAAATCTATTATCTGACACATCAACTAACCTATTACCTGGCAGGCATTAACCACCTGACTCCACCCGCCCCCGCCAGACCACCAAAACTTAATAAAAGTGGGAAAAATCAGTGCTCAGAATTTGGTGGCGAGGCCCCTCTGAGCCCGCTGGCAGAACTTTGATTCTCCGACTCTCCGTGTGCCATTCGGTTTGTCCTCAGGACCACCTGCTGTAATATTTGCTATAACAGGATCACTTGAGGACAGGAGTTTGAGACTAGCCTGGGCAATATAGTGAGACCCCATCTCTACAAAAATTTTTTTAAAAAATTAGCTGGGCATGGTGGTGCACGCCTGTAGTCTTGGCGACTCAGGAGGCTGAGGTAGAAGAATTGCTTGAGCCCAGGAGTTTGAGGTGGCAGCAAGCTATGATAGTGCCACTGCACTCCAGCCTGGGAGACAAAGCAAGACCCTGTCTCTTACAGCCTGAGCGAGAGCAGGACCCCATGTCTACCAAAAATAGAAAGAAATTAGCTGGACAACTAAAAATATATATATAAAAAATTAGCCGGGCATGGTGGTGCATGCCTGTAGTCCCAGCTACTTGGGAGGCTGAGGCAGAAGGATTGCTTGAGCCCAGGAGTCTGAGGTTGCTGTAAGCTATGATGATGCCACGGCACTCCAGCCTGGGCAACAGAGTGAGACTCTGTCTCAAAAACAAAATAAACCAAAAAAACAAAAACCTAGGGTATTACCCATAAAACAAACACAAGATAATTCTGAAATGTGAGGAGAAAAACTAGGACATTGGGACCTGAGGAACACCACCATGGTAGGGTCCCTGGGTTTTCTTTTTAGTTCATATATCCAAGAATTAGAGCTGAAGAAGATGAAAAACAATCAATGCCAACAGATATAGGGGAAAAAAAAAGCCCCAACAAAAGCCTGCTCTTTCTGTCCAAAGGACCAGGAAAGCAGTCGACTAGGAAGACAGAAAACTCCTAGAAAACAACCATTCTACTTGAATTAAACAGCACAGAAAAAACTGTGGCCCCATGCCAACAAAGGACAAGTGGGG